TGATCGATTTTGGCCCATTTTCACAGCTTTTCAGAAAATATGCATAAGTTATGATTGATGAAAAAAAGCCATTTTCATATATTTTGGAGCACTCAGCATTGACTATAGTCGATGGCTTAGATCAATTTTGGACCATATTGACAACWCATTCAAACAAACAGTTATATTCCGTTTCAAATGTTTTTTATTTGAATGTTTACAAGTAGTATGCAAAAACATCTACACAAACACGTCCAACGTTRTCTCGTTCGGTATAGCCCTTCAGATCTTCTCCGTACCACACCTTAAGGACTTGGTTTTCGCTCACGAAGTATGGGYTGGCAAAGCTGTGCTGGAGAACGATTTGTTTGGAAACTGAATTGACTCCRTCTAGGCCATACCAGTAACCTACGTTAGGCTGTTTAATGCTGGAAACACAGAGAAATCCCAACGTTAATACTTACATAGACATTTAGTTTAGGCTTTGTTTTGGAAATACGATTCAAGGCTGGCGTAGCAGTGCATCATGATCCACTCTCCTCTCACTTTTAGGGTCTTGGTTCGATTCCTATTCCTAACATTCATGTTAGTTGTTTGTGTATATCCCTTGATCTACGGCTTTCCTCTAGTGTCTTCACTTTTTCTTTCTTTGCAAAACACTCTTATTTKCCCATCGATAAACCTTGAAAGTTATTTTTGTTTTTCAGAGTACTCGACTAAAGAAAGACACGAAGTAAGAAATGGGACGAAAACATGAGGCCCAATCTAGTAAAGAAACGTAATCCCATCAAGGGATAATTGGTCTTATTCTTCTATTCTCGGGTCAAAGGTATTAGCTTGATTCAATTATTTGTCCCTAAAGTATCTTATCGTGTCAAAAAGCCGCGARGGCGTTCAAAGCAGCTTCAAATATGTAGAAGTTTATAGAGATTAACCTGAGCATGATGAACACATACCTGACTTCACTGACAGGGAACTTGACTTGATCATCAGCATTAGTGACCACGACATTCAAAGAATGCTTCTTAAGACCATTCCAGTTATGGCACCCGAAATAACTATTGTGCTTTGCACTGGCGCTGCCACATCGAATGTGACCTCTTTTGTGTACGAGTTTTACGGCAGCAACGAACCCGGGATGCAAGACCTTGAAGGTACCTGGCTGATTATTCTTCCCTGAGAAACAAACTGGACGTGAGTTGATTTGAACCCATGGCTGCGTAGCACAAATAGAGCACTCGGTGAATGGCAGAACCGCMAAAGAAACCAGAGCAAGGCAGATCAAACTATTCATGATGACGATGCATTGAGTAAAGAAACTGTGAGAGGATGATCACCTTTTATAACGTTGAGCTTTAGGGACACCTTTTGCTAATTATCAGCTTTCCTTTCACACAAATATTGATTTTGCGTTATGTTATTAGTATTAATTGACYAGTATGTTTTTTATTATTTGAACAAATATTATTCATATAATTATCACTATTATTGGTATACAGTCATTTAACTGTTTCAAGTTTAAACGTATTTTTAATTAAATGTAGCCTGAGTTTACCTTGAATACGAGCTGGCATGAATACGTGCCGTGCCGCATGCTCTATGTACTACATTGATGCAACAACCAATCACCAAAGACTCCTGGTACAGCATTTATCTCGCATTCCCGTCACTATCCCGTTACTATACCCGAGCCCTGAACGACACTCGCTCACTCTCGCTATTTTAATTAAACACTCACCTGTCATTTTTTGCGATCATTATTACTGTTTCAATTATGGCTGCTTACTACAGCTGTTTAATTGTTATCATGTTAAATGTTGTCATAAACATAGCGGGTAATAATAATGATGTTAATGTGATAATCAGTGAAAATACTGTATACTATCTAACGCCCAATAAAGCGGCCTGGTTTYTATTAGCGGGAAAAAACAGGTGAATCTTCAAACTGGATCTGAGTCGGAGCTTAAGATAATTCCCTTGAAAGAAATTTTGCATTTATCAAAATTCTGAAATAAAAAWTGGGATTCACTATTCTCATTTTTGATTTATCTTGAAAAAACATAGTCAAAATAGTCGAAAACACACATTTTTCCGAGTAGAGACTGATGCGAGTCTGATAAAAATCGCAATTTCTCTACTCAAAAAAGAGAAAAAAAGTGAAAATTGGTTTTGAACATGTTTATTTAGTTCCCAATAGCAAAAGTACCTAAACTTCGTTACTTCCATGCTTTTCGTTGAATGCGTAGAAAAATGCGCAGTGCAAAACAAGGGAATTACGACAACATTAGATTGCCACACTTGTTTCCTTGGCAACACCATAAACAACATAAAAACACAAATGCGCATGCCTGTGCGCATCTTTCTTTTCTTCACAGATTAACTGACTGGTCTTCTTTAATTTTTAGTACATTACACACAGTATTGCGATGATTTCACGATCATCACTGAAAGACTATATTCTAGTCCAGCTGCGCATTCACAGATGTCAAAAGATCTATTAGTGAGAATATAGTAATGATGAAAAGGTAAATTATACACCGTGAAAAGATGAAAAGARCTCTTTCCATTACTCCGACAAAKGACTAGCGGACGAAACGTCAGTAAGTTTTTTCATCTTTTCACGGTGTATAATTTACCCTTTTATCATTACTGTTTCATTAGAAACACCGACGCAGCTCACACTARTTTTTAGTTAGTTATATCTTYTTAATYAGTGAAAATATGTTAACTTCTTTCAAATACTAAAGATCAACAACAAATGAATACGATATTGGAAATGGTGGTATGATTAAGAATTGTATTTAGTGATCTTTCTGGTATTTTTACCC